CTTCAGAGATCTTAATGTTCCTGTGTCCACTGTGCGCAACATTGTCATGAAGTTTACAGCCCATAGCACTATAGCTAATCTCCCTGGATGTGGACGAAAGAGAAAAATTGATCAAAGGTTGCAATGAAAGATTGTTCAAATGGTGGCTAAAGAACCTTGGTCAGTTTCTAGACAAAGTCAAGATTACCTTCAGGCACAGGGTACAACTGTGTCAGCTCGCAATATACTTCACCATCTGAATGAAAAGGGATGCTATGGTAGGAGACCCAGGAGGACCCCACTTCTGGGGGTCCAGATTGCAGTTTGCCCAAACTTACCTGAGGAAGTCAAAATCCTTTTGGGAGAATGTGCTGTGGACAGACAAAACAAAATTACAGCTTTTTGGTAAAGCCCATTATTCTACTGTCCCTACAGTCCACAGTCAAACATGGTGGAGGTTCACTGATGTTTTTGGGTTACTTTGCTGCTTCAGGCACTGGATGTCTTGACCGTTTGCATGGCATTATGAAATCTGCGGACTACCAAAAAATTCTGGGGTGCAATGTAGGGCCTAGTGTCAGAAAGCTGGATCTCGATTAGAGGTCATGGGTTTTACAGCAGGCAATGACCCAAAACACACATTAACCCCTTCGCGCTGGCGCCTCCCGGCCCTTTAAGGGTTTCAGAAGCCAGGAAATGGGGCAGAGTTTAGGGTCATGTGACCACCGTAACACGCCATCACGGCAGTCACATGATCGGGAAAGGTCCTGATCGAAAAAGGAGATTGGGACCTTTCCGTGAGTACCGGACATGTGTGCTGGGAGGTGCGCGCTCTCAGCACATATGTTCTTTTTTAATAGAACGCAAATGTGCGGCCGCTCGGCGTCTAGGCCCAGACACTGGGAGGCCGCACATTTGCATTCAGGCAGCATGAAGAGGATAAAAAGCACCCAGAAATGGTTTCAGACAAAGCTCTGGACAGTACTGAACTGGCCAGTAATGAGTCCAGATCTCAATCCCATAGAGCACCTGTGGAGAGATCTCAAAAGAGCAGTTGAGAAAAGGAACCCTTCCAATCTGAGAGACCTGGAGCAGTTGGCGAAAGAAGAGTGGTCCAAAATTCCAGTACAGTGGTGTAAGAAACTCATTGATGGTTACAGGATGCGATTGATTTCAGTGATTTTTTTCAAGAGGTGTGCTACCAAATATTAAATTGAGGATGCCGATAATTTTGTCCAGTCCATTTTTGGGGATTTGCGTGGAATGTGTCAGATTTTGGCCTTTTGTTTCTTCACTTCGTCATAACTATATATATATATATATATATATATATATACAGGTGAAACTCGAAAAATTTGAATATCGTGCAAAAGTTCATTTACTTCAGTAATGCAACTTAAAAAGGTGAAACTAATATATGAGATAGACTCATTACATGCAAAGCAAGATAGTTCAAGCCATGATTTGTCATAATTGTGATGATTATGGCTTACAGCTCATGAAAACCCCAAATCCACAATCTCAGAAAATTAGAATATTGTGAAAAGGTGCAATATTGTCGGCTCAAAGTGTCCCACTCTAATCAGCAAATTATTCTAATTTTTTGAGTTTCACCTGTATATACTATTCACCACATTTCCGGTACTCATGGAATTTGTCTGTTAAATGATCTGTATTTCTGTGGCTAGGCATCCATTGCTTAATGTTTCAAACTTTATCATAAAAACCCATGAAAGATGAATATTGACACAGGTTTGTAAAAATACTCCAAATATTAAAAAAAAAAAACACTGTTGACTGTTTCACCATTTACCAAGAAAAAGAAAAAAAATAGGAGGCGTTTCAAGACCTATAGATTGTCAAGACATCCATCTACACATAAAGCACTGTGGAAAATGATGGCGCTATATACGTACCTTAACAAATAAAAAAAAAATAAAGAAATACACATAAGTGAAGAAGATTCAATAAAGATTACTTCTTTCACTGATTCTTCTATTTCTGAGGGTGGAATAGCACAGAGCATAACATAATCATTATTATCTTTGGCCAATGGAGCAAGCAGGGTGGCTAATAATAAAGCAGTAAGACCAGTGTAGACCTTGCGAATGGGCATTTAATGGGAGGATCACTGTAACAGCTTGCTACAGTTATCCCTAATAGCTACTATTTTGTTACAATGTAATTAGTTACATCTGTTACATGACAGGCTTTCCTGTCACCTGCTCTGTAAATGCAGCTGGGACAACCCTGAAAAGTGGAAAGGAAGCAAGATACAAACAGATAGGTGTCAGTCAATCATATAATTTTAACACCTTGAATGTAAGAAAACAGCACTAATGTCAGAGCTGTAAAACGTTAATCATTTAGGTTGAAAATAGAAGACTTTGTGGCATACATTTGAAAATACACATGAAGCACATTTTGGGAAAAAAAAATATACATTTCAAGTGTATGTATTTCTAAACTGATATTTTCAATATACCTGCTTTTTTCAACAGGAGGTAAAAAGGAAATGTAATGTAAGGCAAGATCCACTTACTGGCTGGCAATAAGACCACATCATTTTTACTGTATATGCAACATTTGATATTTACCTGACTACAAAAAACTATTGTTCAAAAACAGAAATAGATATAGAAAATGTATAGAATCATTATATATTCACTTCAAAGCAAGTAGTTGCAGAAACAGCCATGTGCCTATACCTCTCCAGTATTGCAAGCTTAGGTACTTTTAGGTACCAGGTTCACTTTTAGTGGAAGGTAAAAAAAAATTTTTCATCTTGGGTGGAGTAAAGGAGGGTTATAATCCCTGGCATTTTTTTTTTCTTTGCCATCTGTGTCCCATTGCAGAGATTTTCCTTCACTTCCTGTCCCGTAGCCAATGACATCACTCACGCGCAAGCGAGCAGGAAAGGCCACGGCGCACAGCTCGTTCCTTCCGGGTATGTCGTTCCTTCAGAGCGCATGTGTCGGATTAAATTAAGAGAGAATATAAGATTACCTGTAGGTAAACTTAAAAAACAGAGTTTACAACCACTTTAAAGTGTTTCCAATAATCTACTAGCATTATTTTATATAGTGATTCTTAAAGTAGGTTAATCACTAAACCGCGCAAATTGATGCTTTTAAATAGTTAATATTGTCCAAAAAAAATCTTCCACAATGTGAATCCTTTATTTCTGCACTGGAAGTCACAAAGAATTCACATTGTGGACGATTTTTTTTTGGACAATTTTTTATTAATTTTTTTTGTAATTTATTATTGATTACACTGGACTTATATTTTACGGTGTTTTGTGGGCACTATTAACACATATATAATTTGTTTATTTTTTGTCACGTATAATTTTATGTCACATATAATTTATGTCACTTAATATTTGTGTAAATAAGTTTGCACATAGAGACAATCAAAAGAAATTAGTGTGACACATATATATAATGCGCCGCTAATTATCACTAATATTAGGAGTGGTATTTTTTGGAATAAAATCTACTAGCATTGTCCATATGGGTAATATTTATCATCCAAAATTCATTTAATACTATATTCTAGGAGTTTTTAGTGCAATTTCTAAAGTTGAACTATTACTGCAAAATCTGCTTAGCTAGCATTTTCCCTAATCCACCACATTTTACAGTGTTTCTGGCAAAATAAACTTTTTTGTTAAGATGTTTTTTTGTTGGAAAAAAAACATTTTTTTTGTTGAAAGAAAAAAGAAATCCAAGTGTTAGAAAAACATAATGGTATTTAAAGCCATGGAGAACTATCAACCATGGTTACTGGCACAGAATGAAAATTATTTGGATAATTATACAGAAAAGACAGCTTTGAAAAAAAAAAAATATTTTCTTGTAAGAAAAAAATAACTCAGCAATCTTAGAGACCAAATGTAGAGGATGACAATGACCTCAAAAATGTCTATAATTTGTAAAATTGGAAAAACAGCATTAAATGGTCAACCTGGACATGTTCCATATACTGTATGTTGGTGTATAGAATGCCCCCAGAAATGTCATTTCCTACTTCTGTGATTGGCTAACTGATTTTCCCAGGATTCAGCCCTAAGATACAAGTATAATGTTTGGCATCTCCTGCAATAGTTTGTTTTTCTTTTAAGTCAGATAGTCCCTAATGTTTGTCTACTAAAAGGATTCAGGCAAAGCAGCTTTCCTCTTTAGAACACTGAGATTTGTCAGGAGTCTTTAATAAAGCCACCCTCCATATAATGGAGATAAACAAAGGCAGACATGTTTGAAGTCCAGCCTGAGTGACAGCCATGGATTCCTGAGTGAAGCAGTGAGTACAGTCAAACAGGGACAGTAAGTATTTTTTTTTTTTTTTTTGCAAGATTTCCAGGCGAAAATTAAAGGAAAAAAATAATAAAGATAACTAGGACTGGTAGGCTACAATATATTATATTTGTGTGTTTTTTGGTTTAGCTATGATTTAAACCCATTTGATTTGTGTAGATATATGAAGTGATTTAAGGTTTATTAACCTCCCTAGCGGTCTGATTATGTCCATATTTCTGTGCTCAAAACAGTACTTTTTTTTTGCATGGAAATATGTATTTTTTTTATTGTAGGCCTGTAATTTTTAGGAATAACTCACTGAAATCTGTCCGAACAAGAGTCTAGTAAACATCATGGGTATGTTAAAATTTGAAACATGAAATTATAAATTATAATTTAATAAATACTCATAAAAATAATATATATAATAATAAATTTAATTAAATAATATAATCAAAACAAAAACACTGAAATTTGAAATATAGCACCAAGTTCGCACATCACTGAGCAAAGTCGCAAAATCATTTTCAGTGTCAGATGACAAAATTTCCCCACGAATCATCACTCAATTCTGCAAGTCGTTCTAATTTACTATCGCTGTTCTCTAGCTGGTCTAAAATCGTTTTTGACCTAAAGGGACGCCATGGACATTTCTCAGTTTCCAGGCAGAAAGAACAGTAAAAATGTAGGCAGGGCACAGGACAAAGCACTAGGGACAAAATGTATGTGAAATGCTTTGATACAGTAATGTTTTACTATGTGAATTTAGTGAATGTCAGTTTTTGTCATTTTCAAATTTCCCGCCGTTTCATCCCCCGTACGTCCTGACGTCGCAGGGAACGGAACCCAGAAGACAGATGCCTGCATCCGCCGGAGAACATTACAGGGGACACTGCAGGAGGGACATCGCGGGAGTGCAGGAAGGTAAGTGAAGAAGAGATCCCGGAGCAGCGCTGCATGGTAAGCCTGAGTGTAGCTCGGGGTTACCGCTTGTGGTACTGAAACTTTACCCCGAGCTACACTCGGGAATACCTCCAGGGAGGCTACAAGGTATTTATTCTCTCTAAAGCAAAAAAACCTGCAGTCAGCATAAACAGGATGTTTTATAATGAAGGTTTGCTCGCCTGTTACACAGAATATTTTGTGTCTGTACCCACCTCTTCCACCATGCTAACTGATGGCAAAAGCTGCATGAAACAAGATATGGGAAGCTCCTATTGCATCATGAAAGCAGAGCTCCTTCTTAAAGCTTCCAAAATGTTATCCATTTTCTGAAAGTAGAGACCTTGTAGAATGAAATGGTGGCAGCAGCAAAAGGGTAAAGGGTCCTGTACAATAAGTAAAAAATTGCAGTTAATTCTGCTGAGTATCTTTTTCCTAAGCTACTCAAATACTCCTACCTTCAGATTTTCTGACAAGATGAGAAGTATTTTTTTTTTTGCACTTGTTAAGCAGGGATAACAAAATGCTACAAAGGTAAATTAAACCATCCCTAAAGCCGGCCATAGATGGTTCGAATCTCGGCCTGTTCAGCAGGGAGTGATTCTAACTACCTATGGACAAGCTGATTGTACCCGAGTCGATTGTTGTTCAACTTAGGTACAACCAGAATGTCAGATTTTACATGCGATTATTGCTAACGGTTCTTAGAGCTGCTAGCAGTTATCACTGTGTTCTCCTGGAGGGGACAGATTCCCCCCCTGCCAGGAGAACACAATAGCTCTGTGGAAGGGACTCCCCCATTAACACTGACTGTTTTGATGGGGGAATTGAGCGACTTTCTTTCCTGCAACCCATGGACGTAAAGAAAATTGCATAATGTATGGCCTGCCTAAGGGCGCAAATAAGAGAATTTTATTGCTCAGGTTTGCATGCATCTTAAGCACTGACAAAGTTATTGCCAAAAACAGACTCATAGCTCCAAAATGGGTATATCATTTTCAACTACATTTTATTTCTTTGTTCCTTTACTGTCTCTTGATTTCCTTGTAACACCCTTTTTCTGTAAATATTCTATTTGCACCATTTTAACCTTTTTCTTTATTGAACCATATTTGGAAAAGTGTTGAAATTGCCTCTAAAGCTTTTAATGCAAACTAAAATAATCCATCTTGAAGTCTCTTGAAGAAGTGTTACTGTCTGTGGTGACAGTGGGTTTTGCAGCTGTTTATTCTAAAATCATAGTTGGTATTGCTAAGAATAAAAGTTTCTTCCTTCTCTGTAAAAAGACGGTGGCATTTAAAGGGTTAATTGCTTAATTATCTTAACCCAGTGACAGTTGCTCTCAGGCTGCTGGCACCTAGATTGTGGTCCGGCAAGCTGGAAAATCTTTGTGCATGGTGCAGCTGAGTGTGGCATTGTTACGTATGTGATAGTGCGGTGTGAGACTGGCCAGTCCTTTGTCATGAGTTGGTGAGAAGGGCAGGGGCCGGGCATCACATTCGTCACAGGTATATTGAACATAACTAAAGACACATGCATGAAGTTTAAAGAAGTCTCATAAATGTATTTAAGCTTCTATTTAACCCAGAAGAGGGCCAAGCGCATATAGCATTTAGTTCTGTTTGAATCAGTGGCTGCACTGGGGACTAAAAGCCCCTCTCTTACTGTCTGTAGCTCAACCCTACTCTTAAGGCCACTGTATGGGTGTTCCTGTGATGGGAGGTACCGCCAGTACTGGGAATGCTGCTCCTTTAAGCTGAGTTTTTTTTACCATTATGAATTAATTATCAGCTCTGAGTATTCATTCATAATAGTTTCTCTCTGTGATCTATCTGCCTGCAATTGTACACACACACACACAGCTCCAGTGTTTAGATGTTCCAGCCCCACAATGCTGTGTGATCTTTAAAGTGTTACAAAACCCATAACAGTAAAAGTCAGTCTGTACAGAATATACAGTAAAGCATGCTTGTTATACTCACTGTGGAACTCAAGGAGTTAATCCTCTGCATTGTGTAAAAAGGATGTTTGATCCTATCTTATGTGACCCTCCCTTTCTTCTACTGTCCCCAATCCATACACTGATAGTACAGAGCTCTAGGAGTAACTCTGCACATGCTTAGTTAAGTGTGTATTGTTAGAGAGGTTTTTCTTTTTCTCTTTAGGAGGGTGCATGTGATCAGCACAGGGCCAATCAGCACTGTCAAGACAGAGAGTCAGGGGTCATGCAGCCTTATAGGATAGTCAGAGCAGAATGAAAACTTCTCCTAAAAGCTTTAACAAGTACTCAGCTGTACACTGATAGAAGTCACAAGACTGCTCTAACTGAGGTTAATTGTGTAAAAAGGCTGTTTGATCCTTTCTTGTCTGACTTTCCTCTTGTTGAAATGACCACCTGATACAGACTAAATCCCAAGTCACATGCACATGCTCAGTTTGGTTGCTAGAGAGGTTTTTTTTTTTCTTGGGCGAGTGCATGGGATCAGCACTGTCCTGACAGAGGTCAGGGCTTTCACAACCTCCTAGAGCAGAAAGAAAACTCCTCCTACAAGCTTTAACCAGTGCTCTGCTGAAGTCACAAGACTGCTCTAACTGCTGATGAGAGAAAAGGTATTTTGAATTTTATATTTACTAAAATAATTGCATTTCCATGTTGTGTGTACTGTGGGAGACCAGATATAGTGAATGCAGGGTCCTGGGTTTAGTAACAATTTAACATTTATGAGTGAATGATCAGCACTGCCTGGACCAATGCTGTGTATGACATAGCCCACCGCAGTGCTAATCTTTCATTCATGAAAGTAAAAGATCACTCAGCACTACAGGGATGTTTGGTCCATTGGCTGGGGCTGTGTATTATTATCATTACCATACAGAATTTGTATAGTTCCAACAGTTTGTGCAGTGCTTTACAACATGAGGGCAGATAGTACAATTACAATACAATTCAATACAGGAGGAATCAGAGGACCCTGTTTGTTAGAAATGTACAAGCAGTCACAGATAGACCCACTACAGGCTGTGTGATCTTTTGAAAAGTAGCACTGGTCATTAGAGTGGTCCTTGTTGCCAGAGACCAGCACTGTCACTCACAAATCCATCTTCTTCCTAGCAGCACTGTCAGATAGTAGGGGGAAAATGGCTTTTTCTTTGGCTGCTTAGCAAAGGCAGGATGGTTTCCAACAGGTCCAAGTGACCAAAGGGCTAAAAGGTCTAGTGAGACTTCTATAAAGAATCTGTTTTCATCATCCTTTCTAGTTTACAGTTAAAAAATTTTTTCAGAGTATATTATGATTACCCTATAATTAAGGATGAGCTTCAGGTTCACACGTATTATGAGTTTGAGGTGAATGCTGTGGGTTTGAGATTCACAGTCCCATTATGTGCAGATTTGCACATAAACCATATTGTACTACATGACCTTTGAACTATGGCCAGCAGGCTTAAAAGGGCAAATAAAGGGCCTATTGTATAAACCCACCCTCAACTATAAAAGGGGGGCACAGAGCAACCAGTCAGAGTATTGGAAGCAGTGGTAGGAAAAGCAATGGGAAAGCTGACAAACTGCACAGAAAGAAATTAGAGACAGTTATGAAAGTGTTCTCTAATTCTGATTGCTGGTTCCTTGAGCAATCAATCCCCTTGTTTTCTCTTTTTTACTCCTATTATTGGGGTCTTTTTGTCTTTCATTTAATACTGTGATTTATTTGAGGTCAGTGGTCAGTTTTTGTGCTGCCTGTACATAGCAAAAAAAATATTTTTCTTTTGCTGTGATACTCTCTTTAAAAAAAGAGAGGGGGGGGGGGGGACGAGGCAGTATTTTGGTGTTTTCTTTTATTTTACAGTATATTGAGTTATATTTTATGTTGGTAGGGCCCTTATTCTAAGTCAAACTGCTTTTTTTCAACAAGAATTCCCTTAAAGAGATGTGGGCTTTTGTTACAGTGAGGATTATTTTGGCATTTCTTTTGTTTTGTTTTTTTTTTCTTTATGATCATAGGGTTTTTTTAAGTTTGGGATGTTCAAAGGAATGAGTCATCCCTTGATTAAGTCACATGATCAATGACAGGGATGTCACACCGAACCAGACATGTATGGTCAGCCATTTTGTTGGTTTCAACAATACATGCCTGTATACTGTGTGCATCAGATTTGTGCATCAAAAAAGTTTAGTGTAATCTATTTTTAAGCAATAAATGGTAGTTTTTATTTGGAGAGCACTATATTTCCTTGTTTATTCCAAGTGTATTACCAATATTCACCCAAGGACTGCAAAGAATGGAGATGCATTGGGAAGCACCAGTGGATTGAAGAAAGCCATCAAATCTATGGTATAGAAGACCCCATTACAAGCGCATTAGACCTACTTGTGAGGTCTATTAAAAAGGTGAGAGCATATTATTGCTGGTGCAGGGCTATCCGCACGTGGTGACTATAACAAATGGAGTATTATTAACGCAGAGTGAAAAAATGACAGATGACATGGCTGAATGATTGCACAAGAAATATATCCATGAGAATATATGAACACTTGGGACTTTTATGTTTTGTCAGAGTGATTGTTGATTTTTCAATATATATTGTTTACAATAAATACATATGATATATGCATTTTTATTTAATTATTATTATTTTCCTTGGTATAGTTGGGATTCAAATTATGTTTTTTCAGCTGTACACGGTATATGATTTTATGATTTATCACTAGTAACATTTGTATGGATGTATGTTTGTCCCAAGCATGTTTGAACCCACTTACTTTCATTTTACATTCTAAGATTAGTTTTGGCCTTTCCTCGTGCTTGTTTGACAGTTTATCCAGTTGGTCAAATCATCAAAAAGTAGGCTAAAAATTAATATATGAACAGAGCACTGCACATTAGTATTATAAATTCAGCTATAGATTTAAAGTGTTACTAAACCCAGGACCCTGCATTCACTATATCTGGTCTCCCACAGTACACACAACATGGAAATGCAATTATTTTAGTAAATATAAACTGCTAAATACCTTTTCTCATTAGCAGTGTATAGCGGTCTTGTGGTTTCTGTCAGTGTTCAGCAGAGCACTGGGTAAAGCTTGTAGGAGGAGTTTTCATTTTGCT